TGTCTCGTGAAATGTTCAACAGCCTTCATATTTCAGTGTAATTCCATCTTACCTCTCCTAAATGTGTCAGCTGGCTGCCAGCATTTGGATGGCAGCTGTGAGGGGGCAAGGGCTGTGGGAAAGTGAGGAGGAAAGAGGAAGAGGGTGGGTTCATCTGAAGGAAATCAGAGTTTTTTATGTTTTTATGAATTTTATTTTTAGAAGCATGATGAGGACACGGCACTGAAGCTGAACAGGCTGAACGATAAGGTTGTAGCTACAAACATTGCGAAATAATATTGCTATTTAGGCTTTGAATATTTGGGAATTCTGTTCATTCCAGTTTATCCCAGGACCGGTTTTACTTACCCTTCCTGGCCTTCCCTGCTACCAGATGAAGGCCTGTGGTCAGCAAGATATCTTAAGCACACAATTAATTATGTTGTCCTTAAGTGAGATCTTGTCTGAGAACTTGCAGAAGAAAGATTTTCTTCTTCCAGCAGCCCATGAAACATTATCTCGGGTCATTACATCTGTGTGTCCAGCAGCTGGCTTGAGCTGTTCCCCAGTCAGAAAAGGACTGGTACAGCACTGTCAGCTTCCAGTGGATTGCAGCACAGCTCTGCCCCAAGCCTGCTGTTTCTGGTTACAAAGGTGATGTGTGAATGAGTCCATGCATGTAGAGGTGTAGGATGGCTGTTGGAAGGAAGTATTGTTCCCATTTGTTTTGTAGAAAAGTCAGCTCTAGGCAGTAGTAATGAATGGTCAGGGTGCATTGCAAAAGGAAAAAGCCTCTCCATTTTTACCTCGTGCAGAGATTGATAGTGATTTTAAAGGGTTATTTCCTTCCTTCGTACTGTGAAAGTGGAAAGCCAGGGTGTTAGTAATGTCCTCTATACAAGAGAAATGAAAACAGAGTGGTGGCAAGAAGAAGAATGAGAGAATTGGGTCTTGGGCTTTTGACTAGAGCTGTCCAAAAGGTGACTAGTGATGGTGTTTGTGTTTGGGGGTATGAGTATGTCATTCCTTAAGGGGCAGGGGTTGTTAGGTAGGAGTTGCTGAGAGCCCACCCTTGGAAAAATGCTCTTTAAGATATTCCAGAATAGGCACCAGAAATCTCAGAGATACCCGGTAGACAGAGGTCTGAAAAGCTGTGACCTTTAGCTGTTTACTCTCTGTGGTAAAAGAAAGAAGCATGCCTGAACGGTCTTTTGTCAGTCCCATTTTTTAACTCTCCCACTGTGGATTGTTCCAACGGTGGCAGCGGTGGTGACTGGAGCTGTGACCTTGCCACAGGGTCCTACAACTTAACCCCATCAAGTATTGCCACTCACTGGGTCAAAGCATATGGTTTTGGTGAATGAAGGTCTGATGGGTTTGATCTGGTCTAGGGACAGGCTGGGTTGTCTTTCCCAGCAGTGCTCTGGAAAAGCTGGGGGGAAAGTCGGCAGAAAACAGGTTGTATTTCTTGCTCTTAAGTGTGATTTGCTTTTGTTTGCTTGTTTTTAAAAAAAATAATATTTATTGATAGGAGGCATCACATCCCCGACGAGATCGAAGGCGTCTCTCTAGTGCATCCTCCAGTGGACAGTGGACCCCAACTCCTGACTGGGTAAGGGAATCTGGACAGAGGAAATAAATAATGAGGAAGAGAGTTGTGGCAGAAGTGCCACACATGCACCCTCTTCCCCCACCAGCAGAGACTCCCCCAGAGGAGCATTTGCTCCTGGGAAATGTCTTTGGCTTGTGGTCAAAGCTCCAAAAGTTTACTACCGTCTGCGAAGTATTGTTTTACCTGTTTTAAACCAATGCCCTGCTAGTTTCATTGGGTGCCTTATAGTTCTAGTGCTCCAGGATTTATTATATTGGTGTTGTGCACTCAGTTCATCCACCACCTTCATGATTTTTGTAAACCTCAGTTGTTGCAGAGATAGCAGAGATAACTGTAGAAAAACTGCTAATGCAGTGCACTGATTTCCCTGCGGGCTTTCCTGCTTACAGGTGATGTCTTGGAAGTCAAAGCTTCCCCTGCAGACAATCATGCGGCTCTTACAGGTGCTGGTCCCTCAGGTGGAGAAGATCTGCATTGACAAGTAAGTACAGTTTTGGAGAGAAAGGGCTGTGCAGTGTGTCGAGAGCTCTGTGAGGTTAGAGTTTGATGAATTTAGAGGGCCTCTAGGGGAAACCTTGTGAAGTATAATGAAAAGCATCACGGAGGAGATCAGATAATAACATCAGCAGAGGAGATGTTATTTTGCTTGCCAAGCTTCTTATTTGTTTGATCCCTTCTCAACTCTTTTTTAGAGTGGAGGGAGTGTGTGTTCGTGATGGCCACGGTCGCTGGCTCTGTGTCTGTGTGTGTTTAGACTGATACTTTATGCTGCAGCAGTTTTGGGGGCATCTGTGAGACATGCTAAGGATGTTCCTGATCTGTCTCTTTGCAGAGGTCTCACCGATGAATCTGAGATCCTCAAGTTCTTGCAGCATGGCACACTGGTGGGGCTGCTACCTGTACCTCACCCCATCCTCATTCGCAAGTACCAGGCTAACTCGGGTACTGCCATGTGGTTCCGGACCTACATGTGGGGAGTTATTTATTTGAGGTAAACCAGCTGGGTGCAGTCTAACCTGGTCTTTTCCAAACTTTTGGGGGGGTCTATAGAGAGAACTGCATGCACTTGGCCAGCTCTGGATTGTTTCATATTTACAGGATAGAAAGATGCTGTTCCCTTGGAAGACGCTAGGGTGAATCAGCTGCTCCAAAACTTGAAGGAAGTTGTTCTGGGAGTACTGCTGATTTGGGAACTGGCAGCAGCAGGGAACAGAAAAGCTGCCTAGGGGGGATGGTGCGGAGATTTCATGCAAAGCTCTGGCTTTGTGGGATGTTGTAAATACAGTGCGATTTAAAGGGATGACAGTGTCTCAACCAGTTACTTTCTCTCTTGCAAAGTTGAAGGCGTGTGTAGCCAACTCCTGTAATCCTGTCAGTGAGATTTGAATTCTGTGTACCTGACTACAGAGAATAAAGTGACTCTTGTCTTTCTCTCTCAGGAATGTGGATCCCCCTATCTGGTATGACACAGATGTGAAGCTGTTTGAAATTCAACGGGTCTAAGAGGGCACTTACCTCTACTAAGAGAAATACACTGGATCTAAGGACTGCTGTGTGCTGCTTCATCACAGCTATTCCTGCATTTCACATCCAGCTGAGAGACCAAAAGGACAATCACTTCATTTACCTCCCTGTCATTTAAAGCTTTAATTGGGACCTGCTTGGACATCCCTCCCCCCAGCTCACTTCTCTTCCCTCACCCTTCACCATGACCCTTGAGTCATGTCTAAGGGATTGTCCATTGTTGTGGTTGCACTAGAAATCAGACCATTCTTAGCTCTTCTGTTACTCTTTTGCTCCTGGATGTGGTTCGGAAACCAATCTGACCCTGTCCTTGCCCTGGTCAGACTCAGTGTCTAATTGGAAAAAGACTAACTGTAAATTGGGTACAAGGGAGAAGCTGCTATTCCTGCAGGAGATGGGGTTTGGAAACAGCAGTTACTTTTATGTGGCTCCATAAAGTTTCTGGGGCATCCCTTCTGGCTGCAGGTGTCTCCCTGGTGTCTCAGTTGCATATTGGTGGGGCAGTCTTTCCCATCCAAATGAAAGGAGAATTTGCTGAAGGAAAACTTTGTCTCTGTTCTGAATCTCTCTACTCCTTTCCTGGAAAGCTGCTGAAGAAGTTTTGTAGTAGCTGGTGCTTTGGTATGGCGTGAGAAGTTTTTCCTTGGCTTCCAGGCCCAGCAGCCTGTCCTTCATGGTGGGCTGTTGCGATGGAGTGTGTGTCACTTTGGAAAGCCCTGGTTAATCCATGCGAGCACACAGGGAGGAAGGGACTGGCTCAGTGAGAGCAAGCAGAAGAGACGCAACTGTTAAACTCTTAGTCTTCTCCCGTTGACTGAAAGGACAGTGTCACCTGGGTTTGAAAGGAACCATATCCTTCCATGTTTGCCTGGCAAGCTGATGCAATGCAGGGAGTGGGAGGGTCTTTTGCACACTACTGTCTAAGGCAGGGGATTGAGGGAGGCACTCAGGGAAGTTGTAGGAGGAATTTGGAAGTTGTAGGAGGAAAAGCATCTCCATGTCAGTAGGGAGTGGAGAGTGGTGAGGCAAAGTTAAATTCTTCAGGGCATTTTGCTAGTGACCAAGTTATCAGATCTTGAATGTATTGGCTCCCAAGCATGCAAAGTCTGGGAAGCCAGAATTAGAAATGGTGGGAGACCCACTGTTGCTGGCTTGGTTCAGCAGCCATGGGTTGCAGAATTGGTAGGTGGGGACGTCCTGGGGTTTGAGTCAAATTTTATGTTCTGCTGGGAGGGGCTGCTGTCTTAGACTCACGTGGTCTTTAGTTAATGAAGTGTGAGGGGTCCTGTCATGAACTGAGACCTTTCCCTCTCCACCAAAGCTTAGTCCTTGGTGCTCTGGTATTCAGGCTCTTGGGGGGATCACTGGCCATGAGCTGTTTGCCACAGCCTAGAACCAGTGAGATCACTCCATGGAAACTGGTCTCGCACCTTAAAGTAAGGGGACAGGTATGGCACACACTTCTGTGTCTTGTAACCCTTGCCTATGTTTTGAAGGTAGACTGATAGCAGCATGACCATCCTCTCCTAGCGAGAGCGCTGCTCTAGCATACTGCTGGCTTCTGCTGGCTCGTAGTCAGATGATTTCCTCCTTAGGGCACTGAAGGGGGACTGGAGTCCTAGGCCAGTAGAAAGCTAAAGTAAAACCTAGAGGGTTTTCTGAAGGATAAGAAATAAGTGAAATAGAGGTTATTCTCCCACCCGCCTCCCATCTCCAACCCACTTTACCATCTAGCACTGCTCCCATCCTGACCTCATCTATTCAAATGTAAACAGGGTGAGGTCTCTGGTTTGCTTGGAATCTCTCTTGTGTGTAAGAATGTGATTTGGTGGGACCAGCCTCTGATTGTATGGCACTTGCACCTCACAGCTGGAATGGGGCATCATGTGTCCCACGTGCTTGCCTCTTCCCTCCCATGGATCTGCTGGTTCTTATGATCTCTTCCGTCCTCTCTTTTCTGCTTTGTTTCTTTGTGAATTCCTGGAAATCTGGAAACCTTTTTTTTGTTTCTTGGTGTTTGGAGTCTGATCCTTGTTCTGTGGAAATCAAAATGCACTGTAAACTATTTGCTGACAGAGAGAAAGATAAAGACTATCTGAAACATGCAGTTGGTTGCTTATTTTTTTCCCAGAGAGAGATTTATAATATTGTTTTATGCTGGGGGTGATTTGTGCTACCAGGAGACCATGTACTGGCTTCCTCTGCCGTGTGTGGACTTTTTTTGTAATCAGAAATGAAGACTGGACTCTGGAAAGTGAGCTTGAACTGTGTGGGTTTGGCCATCTCTGTGTTTATGGCATGAGACATTGTCCAAGGTAACCGTCTCAAAGGGTAGAGAAAAGGAACTAGATCAAATGGGATCCTGACTTTGTGAACTGTGTACTAAAACCTTTGTGCAGTTGAGACCCATAAAAGGGGCACCCTGGCCCTGGGAGAGAGCTTTGGAAGTCATTCACAGATGGCAGATGACAAAAGATGGTGGAGCAGATGGCAGATGACAAAGGAGCGGGTGGGCCACTGACATGTCACGGCTGTGTCGGATTCAGGAGTCTGAAGGAGCTGAAGGCCGTTTTAATTGCATGCAAACTGTGTGTTCGTGGTTTTACCCCTCCTGGAAGTAAATCAGTCCATAGGGAGAACCCTCCTAAGTGAAAGGGCTGAAACCTTGGACCCTACATTTCTCCTTGGCCTGGAAGAGTGCTTTTACTGTTGCCTATTGTGGGATTTCTTACCTTCATCTACAGTGTTAGAACTGGGCGTTTTTAGGAAAGGACATAAGTGGTCAAGGCCCTCTATCTGATCTATAGTGTCTGTGGGTAAGAGTTGGAGCTGGTGGGCTTCGTTCCTGTTCATGCTAATCATGTATTCAGGCAGTCCACCAGCAAGAAATCACAAGCTGACTTCTCTTTCAGTCCATATTGGTATGTAGTTACTACAGGACTTAGTATTTATATCTCAGTGGGAAACCTCCAAAGTCACCTGCTCAGCAGAGGCTCAGTAACTTAAACAGTGTTTTATCTATTACGCTGCAGATAAAATCCAGCTCATGGGTTTGCCCATGAAGTACATCATTGCTTGTCTCCAGGCTGTCAATAACTAGGAAGAAGGTTTGAGATCATGTTCATCATTTGAAAGGGCTGGACCTTGGCATGTATCTCCTGTAGATCCCTTGGTACAAACCATGACATGAGAATAATAATTAACTTTATTGGAGCCTAATTTATCCAGCTGGTATTTCTCATGACATATTTCTGTTGACACAGGCCTAAGTAAAAGCACTTATTGGGCAAAGTTCATGCTCATGCAGTCATTCTCACTTACAGTTTCACAGAAAGGTGCTATCATTGCCTGAATGCTGAATCCTAAGGGGAGTGGGATGTGTGTGGTCAAGCTCTCATCACTGTTATTGCCTTGGGAAATTTGCTTTTCTAGGGGATCACAAAAACCCCCATAAATAGGCTCTGATCCTAAACCCACACTGCTTCTGGGATTGATTTAGAGAGGAACAGAAGCAATAACATAGATGCCTTTTGTACCATGCTACTTTGGCCTTGGTTAAGAGTCATGAAAGATTTTGATTGATTGTAAAACAAGGCCTGTCCTTGAATCTCATATAACCTCTGAATGCAAGAGTGGTGTAAGTTAATGTCAGTTGACTTTGAGTCTGGTCTTCGGTGAGTGCAAAGCAGACTCAGATATTTCACAAGATTCATATGAAAATTCAATCTCTCTTTATTTCCATTCATCAGGCTCTGTATTTGGGACCCATAGTCGCAAGCCCCCTTGCTTTCCCCTGTGCTTTCAAAGCAAGCATCTCCTATGGAACAGGTAGTAATGGGTCTTTGATCAGGCACCACACTGTGCAAACGTGTTCCCTTATGCACAGTGCACCTTGTGAAATGTTTGTGGGTGTGCAAAGCATCAGTGAAAATCAAAGTGCTGGGGTAGAGAGGGATTCACAGTCGATTTGGCAGTAGCTCTTTCTTGAACTAGCTCTGTGTGCGAGGGTGGGACCTTTGCTAGTACACACTGAGGATAACGTTGCGTGCGAGTAGCGCCAAGTAAAGATTGGCCATAGTAGTTCTGTAGTGCTTCTCACTTGAGACTCTGTGAGTGCCTGTAAGGACAAATAGTGTTTATTCTCAGTAAGGCAAGATGATGTTGACGAGAGAGTTGGGGTTGTTCAGTCTGGAGAAGAGAAGGCTTTGGGGTGACCTCATTGCACCCTTCCAATACCTGAAGGGGGCCTATATGAGAGATGGGGACAGACTTTTTAGCAGGGTCTGCTGTGACAGGACAAGGGGTAATGGTTTTAAACTAAAAGAGGGTAGATTTAGACTTGACATAAGGAAATAATTCTTTACAATGAGGGTGGTGAAGCACTGGCACAGGTTGCCCAGAGAGGTGGTGGAAGCCCCATCCCTGGAGGCATTCAAGGTCAGGCTGGATGGGGCTCTGAGCAACCTTATCTAGTTGGAGATGTCCCTGCTCACCGCAGGGGGGTTGGACTAGATGACCTCTAAAGGTCCCTTCCAGCCCAAATGATTCTATGGATCTGTGTTACAGCTGCTGTTTTCAATAATGGGAAAAGATGCACTGAAGCGGTGCAGGTCTTGAAGACCTGTCCTGCTCTTCAGTACTGAGAGCTGCAAGAGCTTGGCACTCAGTGGGGCTGGGTCCTACGGGACTCACACAAGTTGATGTGCCAGATGTCAGCACCAGGAACAAACAGAAGTAGTCCCTGTTCTGACTATTAAAGCAGCCACCAGCATATTTTTGAAAATTATACATAAAAAGCGTACGTTTGGTTTGTTTCTGAATGACTGTGGCTGTATGTGCTTCTAGCGTGGCTGGTCCCGATAGGTCTTTTCTGTGCTGCAGGGTGGTGGGTTGGTGAGCAGTGATGGGGCTGGTGGGTTTTGACTGTGGACTTTTGAAGTTCCGTGGAGGGTAGGTCAATCTTTGCTGCTTTTGTTGAAAGCTGCACCTGCATTCTTTTATTTGGAAGATTTCAATAGGAGCTGGTAAAGTCCTAGTTGCTACTATACAGCATCCACTGGCAGACTACTGAAAAGTACCAGCATGTGTGCTTCCTTAGAGCAGTAAGGCAGTTTATGGGCTTTGAGTTTATTCTCTGTTGTGAAAAAATGTTAATATTAAACAACCTCCTTTTCTTCTGAAACTGCTGGAGATGTTGTGCAAGGAGAAGTCAAAGCAGAAGCCAGAGGGAAAAAGCTGAAATGCTTCCATGTGCATGTCCGCTGCTTACTGCATCTTTGTTCAGCATCGTTGTTTCACCCCAGCCTCTGGAGTGGGGAGTCAGCTTGGTTCAGGCTGTGACATAGACCTCCAGGAGTCCCCCGACGGAGTGCATTCGGTAGAACACACTCAGTGGGAGGCCAAAGTTCACGATCACAAACCAGGTGGAGTAGCCATAAAATGACTTTTCCAGTCCATTCTCGAAGGCAGGGTGAGCCCCAAATGTGGGCATGACCCACAGCTAAAGAGGTGTAAGGGAAAAAGAGCAGAAGTCAGAGGATGACAAACTGTCTCCTACCTGCACTCTAATCTCAGCACTGGCTCAAGTGGTTGTAGAAATATTTCAAGAGTTTCAGAGGAGTCTCCCTGCCAGGGAAGACAAGGAAAATTCCTTAGTTACACTGCTGACTCCTTGCTAGAAGTCAAATCCTGTCAAATTCCTGGCAACCTGATGATAGGCTCATGCTGCCCCAGCCAACTTTATCTTTCTACACAATTTCAATGTGCCCGTGGTCAATTTGTTTTCAATGGATTAAGGCTGCAGTGAGATCCATGTTGATTCAAGATCCTAGAGGACAGTGTACTTTATTGGGCGAGTTTCAATCCTGGAGATTCATGTTTACAAAGACTCACTGCTTGTGCCTCTTGTTTCTCCACCTATCTCATGAAACACCCTTAATGAGTTTGGTAAGTTTTCAGAGGCTGGAAGTTTGGCACATAAGGATTTATTAGCTGTCTCCTTCCTACACCCAAGAAACTTAGCCATATTTGACTCAGGTTAAAAGAGAGACCTTGTAATTATGAGAGTGGGGTATTAACAGCAAAACCAGTCCTGTCTTGCCTCACCAGTAGGTTGAGACTTGATGGGCAAAGGTTTCTTGTCTGGAATAGCGGCCCGAGAGAAAGACAAGGAGAGCACGTCTGTATCACTGGTCATCACGGCTCAGCCAAGCTGTGATGTAGCAGAGAGAGCAATACTTACTATGATGTTGCACAAAACCAAGAAGAATGAGATCTCCCTTAATGCTTTTCTCTTCCAGTTCAGGTGAGAGTAGTTATGAATATAGGTCAGAGAAACTTTCCGGATCTCCTGTCCCAGCTCCAGCATGCTCATTCGTCTCTGGTTGTAGGCTTCGTGATTCTCCTCTTCTTTCATTTCTTCCTCTTTGCCGGCAGACATCTGTGTGTGCTCCTGTTTGCTGCTTGTCACGGTTCCCTCTTCACCAGGTGGCTCCGAAGCCACTGTGTCCTGCCCAGCGTGTCTTGTGTGTTTGGCCTCAATTGCTGCTACAAAGGGCTGCCGGTGAAGACCATCAATGATGAAGACATTTTGGGTGATGTTCTGAAAGATGAGGAGGACAGAATAGGACAGGATGAGACTGTTCAACAGGTCCCTTGGGTCAGTGGCCACAAGGGCAACAATGGAGAAGTAGGACATGCCAATTTGGCCAAGGGCTGTTCCCATCAACAGGATCACATCCAGGCTGCGGGTTGGGTTCTTCAGGGTGTCCAGCTCCCGTTTTTCCAAGGCGTGGATGATTGTCCCAATCACTGCACCCACACTCATTAGGGGCAGGAGCACAATGTAGTAGGAATAATACATCACGAAGACCTGGCGGCTAGGGGCTGAGGCGGTGGCCTGGATCTGGTACATCATGAAGATGCAGATCCCAATGATTACAGCGGAGGCACCCAGCAGTGGCCCAAGGACCACCCCCTGGAGCTTGAACTTGGGCTTGGTGTGAGGGACAAGGTGGTCGCTGATGCGTCTCCCCACGTTCTTCCAGATGACGTACAGCACAGAGCAGCAGACGAGGCAGTACTCGGTGTTGAAGGGGTAGAGCAGGATGTAGCCCTTCTGGAAGACTTTGCAGATGGTTGTGTTTGGGCATGTGCACAAGGTAGTCTCGTTGCCTGGAGCATGAGAAGAAGGAGGCAACAATTAAGAGGGAGATGGCCTGGATTTCATGGCTATCTTTGGGAGTTTCTTGTGTGCAGGGACAACATCTGTCTCTGCGTCAGGAGCAGTGATCAGCAGTGGTTACCACTCAGTCCCCAAGGTTGCGAGGATTCGGAATAACACGGTTTAGCAAATGTCTTTTCCCAAATACGCAATGCTCCTTCTGGTCAACACCGTAGGTGCTGGATGAGAGAGACACCCCTTCCTTCACAGCGAAGCCTCCTCTATCACTACCCTTGGAATATTAGCTTCCCCTCCACCCTGCACAGCAATTACGTGAGTCTCTTCTAGCCTGGCAATTTTTTCCTTGCAGTTGACAGGTAAATGTGAGCAAAAATGCTAATTTATGGTGGGCTTTTCCTTTCCTAGCCCTCAGTTCCAGGGTTTCATAGCAGATCCACCCCCCCAGGTGAAGATGTTCTCCCCTTGCAGCCCATCTCCTCAAGACAACCTCCAATAATAGGGAAGTTGCAGGATTTGGGGGAGCTGGTGGTAATATGTGAATCACTGAGGTCAAGAGCTGTTGTCTCCCTAGAAGTCATTTATGTCAGCCTAACACGAACAGGGATGTGAAAAAGGAGCCTTGCCTGCAAATCGCTGCTCCACCGCACGCAGCTGAGAGTCAATCTCCACGTGAATGGTGTCGTTGGTCACGGCCAAGAGCCAGAGGAGCAGGTTAGTGGCTATGGTCAACATCAGCCCACACCTGGGAGAAGAGAAAGACACTTTTACAGTATGTTGCCCGTGGAGATGGTTTACAACCTGTTTGTCCACCCGCCGTGGGGTGCTGGCCTTTGCTTCTCGCTTACCCACGCACAGATGCAAACACGGTGCGTTTGTGCCTGTTCTGCGTTCGCCCGTTGGTGCGTGACTTTGCACACACAAATATGACCGAGTACGTTCCCATTTGGCCATTTGCAAAAGAGCGGAGCAGGCAGTGCCGGGCTTGCTGGTGAAACTGGTCTAAGCCTGGATGCAGTTGAGGGAGGGAAGGCTGAGACATCTCCCAGTAACAGGAATAGGGAGGCCACTCCACCTCATCCTCCAGTCAATGAACTGGTCCCAGGTCCGTGCGGCAGGAAGGTATTTGGGGTTAGGAAGAAGCAATAAACTTTGCAGCCGTTTAAGGCACAAGTGAAAACCGAAGGGAGGTGGGGAGCCCAGGTCAATGGAAGGAGGGTGGGTCTGGTCAAGGCATGGCGCATGGTGCAGAATACAGAGAGTCTGTGTAAGATCAGATGAAGACAGTTCTAGCAGCAATAATGGAGATCGTAAGCAGACAGAAAAGAAGAGCTTCTTTAGAGGAGCAGAAGGCAGATTTCCCCCCCCCACGCTCACTTTGTACCTGGTAAGATTGTGCTGGACTTGAATGCAATCCTTAGAGTGACGCCACAGGAAAAAAGCCTGCGAATTGATAACAATAATGATGTGAGCAGGGCGAAGGTGATAGCGGGCTGCACGTGTGGTGGGAAGGGACAGGCAGGCGAGAAGGCACGTGTCCGAGTGGGAGCGAACCTGCCTCCGTGCAAGTGGCGCGGGGGCATGTGTGCACCTGCATCTTGGTGCTGAGGCGTGTGCTGGCATCTTTGGGTGACTGCGGCGTGTGTGTGCCTGCACCTAATGCCAATCTAGGAGATCTGCTTTGTTCTGTCTTGTATATATGTGGGCATTTGCTGCTGAGATGGGAACTAGTTGACTTTCCAAATACGGCTTTGGGTCTGGAAAGAAGAGGGTTGGTACCAGAGCGACAAGTTGCAAATGATATCAGATGTTTTTGTATGCAAAAGGTTTTGTTGGGGGGAAGTGTTAATAGAGAGGCTGGGTCTCAGACTGGGGAAAAGATAACTCTGGCAAAATCTGAAATTTCCTCTCCTCGCTCCCTACTTTGATGCTTCGAAACAAACTCTCTTGGATCACGCAGTATGTCAGGTATCGCAAGAGTGATTTCTTTCTGAACCTTACTACTTTTTCTCTCTGGCACATGAGGAGTGTGGGTGGTATTTGAAATGGCGTGTAGTACTTTAATGCCTTTAACGCTCATGAGATTTCCTCACATGCACCCACTTTCCCAAGTCTTCCCACTTCCCCCCACCCCCTGGGCTCCTGGGAATGGGACAGAGAATAAGCGCGTTTCTAGAAGGGTAACGTGCGGTACCTGGGTGCAAATAAAAAGGATTTCGATGCTGGGGAACACAATTTCCACCCTGGATTTGCAGTGGCTGAGAACTGCGCTGTAGCCGATCTGAAAGACGTTCAAGAGGACGCTGAAACTGCCGAACAGCAGCACTGACCCTAGGCGAACAGCAAAAGCACCGGTAAATAAACAAAGATATGTCTGTGGAGCATCTGAGCCTGGCTGGGGACTGGAGACCTCACGCTTCTTGGATTTGGGTGGAGCCGAAGCCCTTCTGGTCTGAAGTCTCATGATTTTGAGAGAAGGGGACAAAGGGGAGCCTTCTTCCTGAACGTGGTTGTATGCTTTGGCTGGTTTCAGGTGTTAAGACAATGTAAGGTATTTTCTTATGCTTGGATACAAGGCGGGAACAGGGGTTTTTGCCTTTTCTGCGCAATCTGGAGTGACAGAGGTAAGCTAATGGCGAGAGATGATTTCTGCCTTGTGGAGAAAACCCGAGATGAACACAGGTCTGCTAAGGCTTTTGGTAGCACCAATCTGCAGAACTTAGGACCCTTCAGTTGTTTCTCCCTTTCTCCTTGGACACCTCTCTGCAGCTTTAGGTACTCAGGTACCTTGCAGCTTTCTTTCCTTTAATTCTCCATGCTTAGTTAACAAGACCGTGCACTAATGAGAAGCTCCATAATAGACCAGAGGCAGGGCTGCTTGGAGAAGGGTCATTTCACAAAGTGGGGCAACTACTGATGGGAAATCTCCTGGGAAAGCCTGGGTGTCACTGGGATGTGATTCACCGGGCAGGAATCTTCCCCTGGAAACAAGGCTGCTGTGATGTTAAAGAAGGATGAGGGTGGCATGGGGCTGCTGATGTCCTTGGAGGGCAAACGTGGTGGTTCTCCTCTCACTTTGACAAATGGTCATGCCTAAAACCTTTCCTATGTCTCTCCCACTGTGCTCTGTTGCTGGGTTGCACTTTGGGAAGGAACGGCAGAGCGAAGTTGGACTGGAGGCTGAAGGAAAACCAAGTTCAAGACTTTCCTGGCTGCTCTGGTTCCTCTCTGGGGCGTCCACCATGCCCTGGTCTTCCCCCAGCCTCGCTCCACAAGCTGACAGGGGACTGGGACATTCCCGATGCCCTAGCCACATCTCCTGTGGCTTCTAGCTCTTTTAGCAGTAGGGGAAGAATTGATCTTCCAAGCACTGGAAAGAGGAGAAAGGCGTGAGATTATAAGTAAAAGCAGAACTTACCCCTAATCCAGATTGGGCCGGCGTGGGAATCCCGGTACAGCACTGCGTGCGGCTGCCGACTGGTGCCCAGCAGGTAGTAGATAATCCAGCACAGGCACAAGACCTTGAGGATGGAGAGCAGGATCCAGACGTCTGCCAGTGTGATGGCCACGTTGTTGAAAATCATACTACTGATGAAAGCGCTGCCCAGAAACACCACGTTCATGGCCAGCAACCCTGAGAAGAGCTGCCCAGCTTTCTGAGTTTGCCTGTCCCTCTGCTGCACTGAAGAGCAGTGACGGTACAGCCAGGACTTCTCATAGTGGATCGTGGAGGTGTCTGGTGGGACCGATGCTGACCTGCTCTTGCAGTGATGGCAGGGCTTTTGCCTTGAGACTTTGTCACCAGACATGGCGCATCTGCTTGGGGGTCACCTGCTGCCTTGAACAAAGGGGAGGTTTAAAGTAAGAAAGATGGTGGGGGACGTGCTGAGATTAGAGGCCGTGTGCTCTGCTGTAAAAGCCGCTTGTGTGGTGACCTCCCTTCCTTGCTTTGCAGTTTCCCCTTCCCTCCCCAGAAACTGGATGAGGGGGAAGAGAGATTGGTGTTTAGCCCAGGGTAGGCATTCAAACTTTCCTGCTGGACAGGGTCATTGTAGGGCACTGGGAAAAGGCCCTTCTGCCAAAAGCTGTCCAGAGCCACCTGCATGAATCAGAGAATCATTTGGGCTGGAAGAGACCTTTAGAGGTCATCTAGTCCAACCCCCCTGCGGTGAGCAGGGACATCTCCAACTAGATAAGGTTGCTCAGAGCCCCATCCAGCCTGACCTTGAATGCCTCCAGGGATGGGGCTTCCACCACCTCTCTGGGCAACCTGTTCCACTGCTTCACCACCCTCATTGTAAAGAATTATTTCCTTATGTCTAGTCTAAATGTACCCTCTTTTAGTTTAAAACCATTACCCCTTGTCCTGTCACAGCAGACCCTGCTAAAAAGTCTGTCCCCATCTCTCATATAGGCCCCCTTCAGGTATTGGAAGGGTGCAATGAGGTCACCCCAAAGCCTTCTCTTCTCCAGACTGAACAACCCCAACTCTCTCAGCCTGTCTTCATAGGAGAGGTGCTCCAGCCCTCGGGTCATTTTCGTTGCCCTCCTCTGGACCTTCTCCAACAGGTCCATGTCCTCCCTGTGCTGAGGGCTCCAGAGCTGGATGCAATACTCCAGGTGGGGTCTCACCAGAGTGGAGCAGAGGGGCAGAATGACCTCCCTGGACCTGCTGGCCACACTTCTCTTGATGCAGCCCAGGATGCGGTTGGCCTTCTGGGCTGCGAGTGCACATTGCTGACTCCTGTCATGAAAACGGGTATTTGGTGTCTCTGCCCTGCCCTGCCCCACCAGCACTCGGGGCTGTTGGGACCTGAGATGCCCGAACACTTCCATCCTCACCTTTCACACCTCCTCCCCGTACAGCCCTGGGTTCAGGTTTCCTCTTTTCCCTTTGTTACCGTAAGGATTAGGTGGAAACACAGAGCAAGCTCAGACCTGCTCTAAAATTCAGAGCTGTTTGGTTTTGGTTGATGGGTCCAACCTCTTCCTTGTGATTTTGGGCTGAGTGAGTTACACCAGACTCCTCGTATGGCCGCACAAATTGTGGCAGAGCTGGAGAGGATAAAAAGAGCATCTGTAAGTCTTGATCTAAGCGGCTGGGAAAAAATCCAACGTCCCACCCAGGCAGGCTGAGATTGGGACAAAGCTAATACCCCGTTTTCTTTCTTTTTCTACTTGTAGCACAGAGGAAAAAGCACAGAGCCATGAGCACACCGACACAGAGGAGTTTGAGGGATTGGCTCAGATCGTCAGCCAGAGCCTGGGAGCTTTTCTGCCTAGCGTTTGGAAAAATCTCGGTAGGACTGTATTGCCCGTGAGAGAGAAATCCCCTTGCTCGTATACAGCAATCGGGCAAGGTCAGCCTCCCTATAGATTTGGTGTATGGAAAGGTGCTCTCACTCCAGGGAGG